TTAGGATCCAAACTACATATGTGTTTTATGTTTTCATTTTTGGTTAAATTTAGTTTGAATTGGTTTCCAGTGTGAGTTTCATTGTTGATTTTCATTTTAATTTGTGCAGAGCATATTTCTCTAAGTCCGTATTACAATAAAGGCTTGTTAAAGGTAGTTGAGTTGCAGTCAAGTTTGAGAAAACACAAGCACCAAAACAAATCCTTTGTGAGGAGCTGTCTTCAGTTGTTTTCACATAATGTTTGGCTAGTGATTTAAAGACACAGGTAATAATAACCATTTAAACTTATTTGGTGACTTGTTTTTTCCTGATGCATTTCACTTCACTACTAACTGTTGCCAATGTTTTTAAACTGGCTTGCATCTCTCTTGAATGTATGTAAAGCATATATTCATCACTGAATAAGCTGTACTCATTCAGTGGAGCTGACATCAAACTAAAAATAAACAGGAAACGTCTTTAGTCTTTGATCAACTTTTCCAACATAGTAAGCATGAGCAGGCACTGATGGTTATGTTGATACTGAGCTGTGTACAAGACTGACAGTTAGCTGTGTACAAGAAGTGTGTTTGTTTTGGAGCTTGTGCATGTCTGGTTTCCTCCTGGAACTTAGTTTGCAGGGTTACAAGTTCTTTACAGTCACCCCAGCTTTCAGCTTTTCTAGATATCGCCTGATACAAGTGCGTTTTAGAATTAAACCAGTTCATTTGGATGTTGGTCAAACTTTAACCTGTCAGTTCCCAAGTACAAAGACTGTGCCAGTAGCTGGGGTTGGCTTACTCTAGTGCATAACCTGCTAGCCAAAACCATACCACACTGAGAATTTCCAGTAATGCCTGCATGCAAGAGAATATTACTGCAGTTGTCCAAATGCATGTGTATTTTTAATGTGGTCTTGGGGTGTCTTGATTACAGAAAAAATTGCAATTATTTTGGTCTGGATACTTTTATTTAAGCAGATTTCCTTGGCCTTACTTTTCCCCTCCATTTGAATCATAAGGGTGAATTAAAATGAACAGAATCTCCAAGTCTGGAAAGTTTGTTTTGGACTTGAGGCAAAAGTAAAAGGACGTGTTTAAAGGAAAAACAAGACAATTATTGCAAGTGTTATGGCACAGTGATAGTTTTGATTATCTTGTTTTTACTATTCCCGTGAAGACGAAATGTAATTTCAATTAAAATTTGATTGCACAGCTCTGTGTGTAAAGGATATCACATTTCATTTAAGCCCATTTTCTTTTCTAAGTAATACATGCACTGGTTGCAAGTTTGTTGTTCAATATTGTTTTGTTGTAGCCCTTTCGTGCTTAGCTTTGAATGAGGTATACAAATAAGTATTTAAGAGTATTTATGGAGGGATCTGTTGGTTAAAATATGCTTGAATGAGATGATCGACTGAAGCTGTTTCCCTTGTATTTGACAATCCCTGGACAAGCAAGGTCAGGTTATAATTATGCATATGAGAGTATTACGTGACCATACTATCGCTTGACCCATACCAATGTTGATATTTTT